GTATCCGCCCACTAGAAAACAGAAAATATTTTAACCTCTTTATGCGGCCCTTCTTTTTAGCTAATATAATCGAAGATTGCGCGACAAAAGAAAATCAAAAATTTCGTTCTTTGTTTGCGCTACGCTTATAAAATTTACTAGTAAATTTTGCCGATTTTTGCGGGCTGAAATGAAAATAATAGATAGGGTTCCACCCGCGCGTACACAAAATTAGAAATTTCTCATAAATACTAATTAAAATAGAATATAAAAAAGATATAGTATAAATAGTTATATAAATATATATTCTTCTCATGATAGTAACTTTAAGATAATTTCATTTTATTACAGTGCGCCCCGAAGGGAGGGCTTCGCCCGGGCTTTTAAGCGTTTATATACTTTTGATTCCTTGTATCTTTATATATGAGACCCTTATTAATACTTTGTTTATATTAGTTTAATATTAATATCCGCGCGCCCCCTAGTCGCCGAAGGCTTCTAAGCGTAGCCGCGCCGAAGATTTGGCGCGGGGAATAAAAATCGCGCCTATAAAAAATCTTCGGCGCGCCCGCCGTAGGCGGGCTTCGCCCTCTTTGAAATTTTATAGGGCGGCGCATTTTTATAGGCGCTTAATCTTATATTGTAATACGGAAGAACTACATTGCTATTCTATATATAAAAAATATAGATTCAATTTCTTAAAATATTAGTAGTGATAGCAAATTAAAGCATAGAAAGAATATAAATGTAAATAGGCGCGGTATTTATATCTATGTTTATAAAGGTATAGATAAGAATGATCACTGAAAAGTGTATCCAATAAATAATAGTAACTGAGTAAATTTAGTTAATTATTATGAGATGCGTTTTAAGTTTTAAAAGAGAGTAAACGCTTAGTAATTGTTTAATCGTGGCAAAGTTAGAACGTTATCTGGTAGTTTTACTCATGCAAGTCGTATGGTATTAATGAATATCATGGCGTACAGGCGAGGATGAAAAAGTACATACCTTTAGTAGATGATAGAAACATCTAATTAAGAAGGAAATTTTCCGACTAAAGATTGGCTTTATATTTAGCAGGTAGTTGGAGTGGTAAAGGCGCTCCAAGCCTATGACGGATAGGAAATAGCGAAAGCTTCAATTCCCGCAATTGGTTTGAGAATAACCAATGGTGTCTTTAAGACATGCTGCAGAGGAGGATCTTGGGCAATGCTCGAAAGAGTGACCCAGCTAACCAGAACTCGAAAGAGTGTCGTAAGGGAGGATAATGACGTTACCTTACTAATAGTCCAATCTAAGTCTCGTGCCAGCAGACGCGGTTATACGAACTGGGCAAACGTTTAATAAATTAATAGGTATTAAGGATCCGTAGGCCGTTTCTAATAAAGAAACTAGAATCTAATAGAGGATAGTGGAATGCTAGGAGGAGGGATGATATCCATTGATATCTAGCGGAACACTAATGGCGAAAGCAGCTATCCAGCTAAAGATTGACGCTCAGGGATGAAAGTCTGGGGAGCAAAACAGATGTGCGACCTGCTAAGTCTATATAAATATAGTACTAAAAGTACAATTTCTTTCGTTCGAAATTAGTCTACTTAAACATGCATCTCGAGTAATTGGTTTGTATGAAGCTTTAAGGAAAAATAGTTCTATTAATTATTAAATTAATACGAATTATCTGGCTGATTCCTAAGATTAGGGAAACCGAATCTATGTAATAAAACTATCTTATTTGACATTATGTAATCTGTGCTTAATGGGAATGAACAGCTATATTTAGCAAAGTAAGAATAGTAAAGTAGGAATCTAAGGGAATCTATCGTATTTATATAGAAACAGGGTAATGCCAATAATCTGCAATATACTACATTATTATTTATTTATAACTTGTATTCTTATATATAATTTATTCTATATTTATTTTTTAAGGTGGTTTATTGCTAGCTATTTTGTGAGAAATAGTACATGATTAGTGGTAAAAGGATAATGCAAAAAGCAAAGGCTAGCCTGTAATGGGTTAGATAGGTCCATTGACTAACCTGAAAGGGTGCTGACTTGCATATAGGTGGTTATTCCAATCGACTTTCTTCTTATAAACTATTAATTCATTATATACTTTCATTTATACACCGCGCGTAGCGCAATAAATATATAGATATATACCGTTGATCATATTAAATTAATATTGTTAATATATTGTACCTTTTTATTTACATCTTTGAATAATTCTTATTTTACTATATTGGCTTAACAATGGGCCTATAAAATCACAGATTTTATTGACCCGTACAACTATTAATACAAATAAACTCCTATCTGACTAATTCATTTTTTGTCAGGTTGTAAAAGAAAAGAGATTATCAGTCAATATCTACACAGCACAAAGTTAGTCCTAGAGCAGTTAGAATCCGTATATATTAAGTAGCAATAAAGCAATAGTAAATGATATAGAAATAATGAAAGAATTTCACATGAAAAAAGATTTTATTAATTGGCTAATTGGTTTTCTAGATGCTGAAGGGAATTTTCAAGTATTTCCTAAAGTTCAAAAGAATAAAGAAGGTCTTATTACTCGTTATGGTATTGGTGTGGGATTTCATATTGGTCTACATATTCGTGATATAGCTATTCTAGAACTTATTAAAATAGAACTAGGAGATCTAGGGAAAATTTATGAATATGAGAAAAAAAAGGAAGCACACTATGCTATTACTAAAAAAGAAGAGCTTCGAGAGTTTATTTGTAAACTATTTAAAGAGAATAATCAACTACTAACAGATTATCAGTATAATCGTTTTATAGTAATAAAAACAGTACTAGATAAAAATCTAAAGAGTACAATTACAAAAGAAGAATTTGAGAAACTAATTAATATGCAATTTAATAATGAATCCCAATATGATAGTATTACTAAGGATATTCAATTTGTAAAAAGTTGGATTATTGGCTTTATTAATGGTGAAGGTTCTTTTTATACTGTTAAAAATGCTCATCGATTTGTTATTGAACATACAGATATAAAAGCACTATCTCTTATTAAAGAACATATAAATCTATCTGTAACTATTGCTAAAGTAAAAATTCGAGGTAATCGAAAACAAACATATTGTATTTCAACAACATCAAAAGAAAATAGTAATAAAGTAATTCAATTTATTGAGAATAACAATCAACTACAAGGTTATAAACTAAAGCAATTTAATGAATTTAAAAATAGTTTTTATAAAAAGAAAGTAGATAATTTTACAGACTATGGTAAGAATAACTGCTTGAGCCGTATGCGGTGAAAGTCGCACGTACGGTTCTTAGCGGGGGAAAGATTTGTGAAAATCCTACCTATCGCAACTAGATACCTGTGTAGTCCAGACCGTAAACTATTTACATTTCTTATTTGGCCACAAATCATATTGATTTATAATGTCAGATAAGCAGCAAACCGCTGTATGTGTAACACCTTGTAAGTACAGTCCCAGGACCGAAAGCAAAAAGATTAGACCATCCTAAAGACCCGGAGTGGAGCATGTTGTTTAATACGATAATCCGCGTAGAACCTTACCTCTCCTTGAATGGCTTACAGAACTTTGTTTGTAAGATCACAGGCGTTGCATGGCTGTCGGCAGTTCGTGTCGTAAGATGTCAGGTTGAGTCCGCCAACGAACGCAATCCCTATAAGAAGTTGTTTTCAGTAGTAATACTGCTCTTCTTATTTGCATTCAATAAGAAGCATTTTTGGGAATACGATAAGCCTTCATGACCCTTATGGAGTATGGGCTACAGACGTGCTACTTGAACCTAACAAACTGATGCAATACCGTAAGGTGGAGCTAACCAGTAAAATATGGTGATACTAGGATCGTAGTCTGAAATTCGACTACGTGAATCAGGAATTCCGAGTAATCGTTGATAAGTACGCAACGGTGAACCTTTACATTTGGGAGATACTAACCGTCTATCAAGTGTTGGTCGTTTATCAAGCTAGGAACTAGTGTTTCCTTTGATTCTTTCTCTATTTAAGTATCTACTATGTAGGTCTGCTAGTAAGTATTCGTACTTACTAGCAGACCTATGTAGGCTAAATAGGTGCCTTTTTAGTTATAAGTTTCTATAGTAAATACATGGAATAGCTTAGAACTCCTAACGCTAAGTTATAGCAAGGTAGCCGTAAGGGAACTTGTGGCTGATGGATACTATTCAATTATCCCCTACCGGCGCGTACGCGCGCCCCTAATAAAAATCGGCGCAGAGCGCTTTTTATAACGCGCGCAAGGGCTTCGCCCCCTAGTCGCCGAAGGCTTCTAAGCGTAGCCCGATTTTTTCGCGTAGTTATAAAATGCCGGCAAATTTAAAGCGCGTACGCGCGGGGCGCTACGCGCGCCCGCCGTAGGCGGGCTTCGCCCTTCTTTTCAATTTTCTAGGGCGCGCCGAAGATCCCTTCGGCGCCCGCCGTAGGCAAATTTCTTTGAAATTTTATAGGGCGGCGCATTTTATTAGCGCTTTTTATAACGCCGAAGGCTTTTAATCCCACACGCGCCCTTCTTTTTGTTTTTTAATGCGCTTTATATAATCTTCGATTATATTAGCGTCAAAAAGAACGAGATCGAAGATTTTGCGCGGCTTCGCCCGCCCACCCGCGCCGAAGATTTTTTATAGGCGCTTTTGTTTTTTTTTCCGCGCGTACGCGCTTTGTTTGTTTTGCGGGGGGCTTCGCCCGCCCCCGCGCGTACGCGCTTATAATTTAAGAAAATCGCGCCCCCCTATAAAATTTAAAAGAGGGCGGGCGCAGCCCCCCGCGGGCGCGCCGAAGATTTTTGCGCATAGCGCGGCGCATTATTTTTAACTTACACTTTTAATTTCTTTAGTGCGCGGACGCGCAGTAACTTATTAATACCATATTATATATATATATTCAGTTATATAAGTATAGAAATAATTACAGATATATATATTATATAGTAGTGTATAACTCTCTATAAAAGAAGAGATAGAATAAGTCTGTAGTTTATTTACAAATTATTTCAGGGAATCTAGCATAATTGGTTAATGTCCTAAATTGTCAGTTTAGATGATGCCCGTTCGAATCGGGTGATTCTCGTATTTTGTATTTATTGTAATATTATTTGTCTAATCAAGAACGGGTCAAGGAAATCTGTGATTTTATAGACCGCCCCCTTTTTTAATAGCCGCAAAGCGCTAATTATAATAATCTATATAAAGAATATAGAAATATTATAGTAGGACATTAGTATTAACAATTTTTAGTATTGTTTCTAAGAGAAGTTTTACGTTCTATTTATATAATAGAATAATTATAGAATATATATCGGAACTAGAAACAGAGGATGAGGCGTCAATAAAATAGATGAGATCTATTTTATGGCTCTACAAAAATAAGAAACTTAGAATCCTCTTTTCTGTAGAATTTCTTAGTAGGCGCGTACGCGCCTTCTTTATGCGGGATTCTTTTAAAAACAAGCGCGTACGCGCGCCCAATCAAAGATTTCCTTTTTGTTTGGGCGCCGCGCTACGCGCAAAATCTTCGATAGGGCGCCGGCAAAATTTCCTAGGAAATTTGATTAGGCGTAGCGCCAAATCTTCGATCGGGGGGCGCCCTTCTTAAAAAAAAAGAGGCGTAGCGCAAAATCGGGTGGCGTAGCGCTTTTTAATTAAAAAAAGAAGGGCCGCGCGTACGCGCTTTCAAGGATTATTCTTATTTTAATCTTAAAAGATTATAGTATAATCTTTCTATAATTTCATTTTTTTTGTACGCATTATTTAGAAATCTTTAGGAATATTAGTAGAGTATAAAATATACGCCAAATTAGAATATTTTCTTTCTTTTTGTGCTAATATAATCGAAGATTCTATAAGGCGCGACAAAAAGAATGCGCGGATAGTTTTTTGTTATAAGGTCCTTAAGGAAGCCAGATAAACTGGCACTATATGAAATGAATCTTTCAGTAATTCTATTTCTAATTGGGATTCTAGGATTTGTTCTTAACCGAAAGAATATTATCCTAATGCTAATTTCAATTGAAGTAATGCTACTAGCTGTTACACTACTAGTACTAGTAAGTTGTTACAGTTTTGATGACATTCTTGGTCAAACATATAGTATTTATATTATTGCAATTGCTGGTGCTGAATCAGCAATTGGTCTAGGAATTCTAGTTGCTTACTACCGACTACGAGGAAATATTAGTCTACGACAATAATGTATCTATCACTTCTTCTTCTACCAATGTTCGGATCTGCTGTTACAGGTCTACTAGGACGTAAAATTGGTGTAACAGGAGGACATATTATTACATGTTCTTGTCTAATTACGTCAGCTATTCTAGCTATTGTAGCCTTCTATGAAGTAGGACTATGTAATAGTCCAGTATCAATTAATCTAATTAGTTGGATTGATTCAGAACTAATGGACGTATCATGGGGATTCATGTTTGATAGCCTAACAGTATCAATGCTTCTACCTGTTCTAGTAGTATCTAGTCTTGTTCATATTTTCTCTGTTGATTATATGAGTGCTGATCCACATAATCAACGATTCTTTGCATACCTTAGTATGTTTACTTTCTTCATGCTAGTACTAGTAACAGGAGATAATTATCTAATTATGTTTGTAGGTCCAATTTTTCCGGCCTAAAATGTAACATCGTTACATTAAGCACATCACTATATGCTGGAATATCCTAAAGCAACTAAGTACTAATTATTTATTAGTAAAAATCTTAGATGATAATAATGGACAATCAGCAGGAAACCAATATTTAATGTAAAATTGAAATTAGTAGGATCCTCAGAGACTATACGTGATGCAATTTATTTGATTACTATATGCTTATAAATTGAAGATATAGTCCGATATAATATGAAAATATTCTAATTTAATGTGTGATATTACTGAATGTTTTAATAATATTAGTAATCCTAGTTTCTATGTACAATCTAGTGTACTACTAACATGTCTACAGAAAGATGTGATTGTCGGAACACTTCTAGGTGATTCTAGTCTAGAACGTGATAAACCAACACATAACACTCGGATTCGATTTGATCAAAGTTATCCAAACCATAAATCATATCTAGAATCTCTATACGTTATTTTTGCAAATCTTTGTGGTACACCACCTCGAGTACACACTCGTAAACCTGACAAGCGAACTGGTAAAATTTCTCAGACTATTGCTTTTAAATCACAACGTCATATCTCTCTTAATTACTATTATGATCTATTTTATGTTTATGATAATAATGGAAAACGAGGTAAAATTGTGCCTAACAATATTACTGAACTACTTACACCTTGTGCACTAGCTTATTGGATTATGGAGGGCTTCGCCCGGTGGTATTAATGCTTATAATGCTACTATTATAAATACAGATAGCTTTACACTTGAAGAAGTAGAACGACTACAAAAAGCACTAGAACAAAAGTTTGGTCTACGAACTCGAAAAGCAGAGAAACGTAAAGGGCGCCTTCGGCGGATTATTATTATCCCTGTACGACAAACAGTACAACTATGTGATATTGTACGACCATATATGCATGAAACTATGCTATTTAAAGTAAAAGGACTAAGCTAATATTATATTCCACCTTCTTGATGTTTTTTTTATTATAATAAAAAAAACAGTAAAAAGAACGAAATCGCGCCGCCGTAGGCGCCGAAGGCATCTTCGATTTTTTATTGGCGCATTTTTATAGGCGCATTCAATAATATTACACAGAAATACCAAAAAAGTGGGAAGGAATTGGTATCTCTTCATATCTACTAATTAACTTCTGGGTTACACGAATTCAAGCTAACAAAAGTGCTATTAAAGCTCTAGTAGTAAACCGAGTAGGTGATATGTTCCTATCAATTGGATTTTTTGCTATCTTCTTTGTATTTGGTAACCTTGATTATAGTACTGTATTTAGTATTGCACCATTTATTAATGAAACTATCATTACTATTATTGGTCTACTACTACTACTAGCTGCTATGGGGAAAAGTGCTCAACTAGGACTACATACATGGCTACCAGATGCGATGGAAGGTTGAGAATATATCGACACATCTATTCTTTTTACCACTTCTGGGGCTACTAGTTATTGCATAACAACCCTACCACTACTACTACTAACTCATAAGAACCTACTTGGAGCTATTACTGGATGCATGCTAGGAGATGGTTCTATTCAACTTAAAAAGAAAAGTGAGAAAGCAAATGCTCGTTACATAATAACTATGAAAGCATCTAGCAAAGAATATATAACTACACTAACACAAACTGTCTTTCATCCCTTTCGATGTAGTAACTTTACACCTTATCCTAATCCTAATCTACCTCAACATAAAGACAAAGAAATTCAACATTATTTCTTTTGTAGTGCTAATCTACCATTTTTCACTATTCTACATAGTCTATGGTATAAATGGGATCCTTCACTAGAAAAATATACAAAGGTAGTTCCTAAAAATATTAGCAAATTCTTTACAGTAGAAAGTCTAAAACATTGGATTATTCAAGATGGATATTATGATGGCCATGGACGTACTAAAACTGTACTTCTTTGTACTGAATCTTTCACGAAAGAGGAATGTTTTCTACTACAAAAAGTTCTACTCAATTTTCAACTAAAAAGTTCCCTTAAGATTCGTGATAAACAACGAGAAACATACCGTATTCGAATTAGTAAAACTAGTATAAAACAACTACAATCTATTCTACTACCTATTATACCCGTGGAATTTCACTATAAACTTGGTAATGGTAAATAACTTGGGCCTTCCTTAAACTTCACTATATGCTAAAATACCCTAAAGCCTGTAGCACCATAGTAGTACTATTTCATAAAACTTATCAATTGACAATTAGGTAAGAAAATAGAATGTACTATGGTAACAGTATTCAGGATAGTACAATGGGCAATCAGCAGGAAACCGGGGCATTTTGTAAAATACTATGTAAAGGGTTCCTCAGAGACTACACGTGAAGCTACTATTTCAATTTTCAATTTTCGCGCGTAGCGCTTCAATTTTCAATTTTCAATTTCAAAAAAAGGAAGCGCTACGCGCGAAACAAAAATAGTAGAAGATATAGTCCGATCAATAGTGAAAGCTATTGCTATAGTTTATTTTGTGTCGATGTAAACTATAGATAATAGTGGACTCTTTCTCGTCAAAAGATGATACTATTAGTAACAATTTTGCCAACACCAGTTAGTGCTCTAATCCATGCTGCTACACTAGTTACAGCAGGAGTATATCTACTACTACGATCCTCTCCAGTTATTGAATATGGACCAACAACACTTATTGTTATTACTTGGGTTGGTGCTCTAACAGCATTCTTTGCTGCATCAACAGGTCTACTACAAAACGATCTTAAACGAGTTATTGCTTACAGTACTTGTTCACAAATGGGTTACCTGTTTATGGCTTGTGGTCTAAGCCAATACAATGTTGCACTATTCCACCTTGTAAACCATGCTTTCTTCAAAGCTCTACTATTCCTAGCAGCTGGTGCTGTGCTACATGCAACATATGATCAACAAGATCAACGACGACTAGGTGGTCTAATTGGATTCCTACCTTTCACATACACAGCTATTCTAATTGGTAGTCTAAGTCTAATGGCTCTACCTTGGCTAACAGGATTCTATAGTAAAGATATCATCATCGAGCTAGCATATGGTCAGTATCAGTTTAGTGGTATGGTCGCATATTGGCTAGGTACTATTAGTGCAGGACTTACAGCATTCTACAGTCTACGACTTATTAGTCTAACATTCCTTACATATCCGAACGCACCTAAGTCTGTATATAACAATGTTCATGATGCTCCTACTATTGTTATGATTCCTCTGGCAATTCTATCTATTCTAGCAATCTTCTTCGGATACATTGCTAGTGATCTATTTGTCGGAATTGGAAGTGATTTTCTATCACAAAGTCTGTTCACACATCCTTCTCATATTACTCTAGTAGAAGCTGAGAATATTCCACTACTACCTAAGCTACTACCAATTATTCTTTCAATTGTTGGAGCAGGTGCTGCACTATACTTCTATCATGTACTACCTACAGTACTAATTAACATTAC